TGACGTCCCTTGCTACAACAATTTCCCTGTTGTGCCACCTGCTGGTTTGGAGGAGCCCAACCAAGTGGAACTGCTGCTGATAGAGAATGAAAGGCTGAGGCAGGAGCTGGAGACACACAGGGAGAAAACTGGACGCATTCAGAAGGTAAAATTGACCACTTTCCCTCAGGATTGTCCGAAAAAAGTGAAATGCCAGATGCAGCCACCTGTCCATGAAACACAACCCCAGTGGACAGTTGTTCACTGACATTCAAATCCACACACACGCCCTCATCTGGACAAAACAGATGAGGTCAGCAGCTGCTACCTTCATACCACAGAGGCACAAACAAGAGGTCAAAGCCTGCTACTGTGTTTACACACTTCTTTCATTGTGCAGCTGGCCTGGTGGAGGCCAGTGTGTGTGTGTGTGTGTTTTTTAGTTCCCGGGACTCCATAGATTTTCTAGGGCCTGTCAGACAGGACATGATGGGTTTTTAAATGCCACACAGCAAATGAGGGTAGGGTTAATAGGGGCCGTGGCAGGTGGCGTACACTGCTCTGTCCTCAGTAAAAGGCTCTCCATTGTTTTCTCACTCACTGAACTGTTACGTGTTTTTACTTTCACCCCTATTCCTGTCAAACAGGTCCAAAAATGTCTTGTTTAATATGGTGGAAGGAGATTGAGAGAAACTGAACACCAGATCTTAGAAAAGCTACTCCTCTCTCTGCTGGAGTTATGTCACATGGCCCTCGCCTGCTTTAAGCCTAAAAGAATGATAATTGCCAGGGTTGGAAAGTTTTCTCCGTCAGGCTGCAGCCCAGAGTAAACATGCCTGTGTGACTGCTGTAATGGTGGGTGTCTCTTTGCCGTTTCCACAGCCCAGGCACAGGCATGCACACCTTCCCTCGACTGGCATCCTTCCCAGACTTCAATGTGTGTGTGTTTGCGTGTGTGTCTTTTTAACCTTGAGTTGTGTATGTGCGCGCTGTTGTGCACTCACACACCTGGAACTAGAGCAATCAGCCCTCAGGAATGTAGATATAAATCAGTCTCACAGGGAGTGGTGCAGGCTTGAATTCCTTCTCAGAATTATACCACACACACACACAGGCGTACGCAACACACAAACACATACACTCTGAATGTACTGTACACACATGAATGTACCCATATGTGCCTATATATTTATGTACTGTAACAACATGAATCAACATTCCTGCGTCTTCCTGACATGTGATGTAGGTTAACCAAAAAATCCTCTTCGTTTTTCTTTCCCTTTCCTTCATTCCTCCCCTGTTTCTCCTTCTTTCCCTTGGCTTCAGCTGGAACAAGAGATCCAGAGGATTTCAGAGGCCTATGATACACTGATGCAGGGCAGCAGTAAAAGAGAAAACCTGGAGCAGACGCTGAGGAGGAGACTGGTGGCTGAGGTCAGGAGGCTGCAGGATTTCAACAGAGACCTCAGAGGTACGGTTACGTAACCATCGTACGACATCATCATACATTCTCTCTTTAGTTCAAATACTTAAAAAATGAATTTTCTTTGCGCAGAAAACCTGGAAAATGCAAGAACGCATGTGGCAAAAGAAGTCCAGGCAGCCGACCATAACCAGCACATCATGGCCAAACTTCTTGAACAGAGTAAGAACGCAGCCTACACCACTCGAGTCTCCCTCACACCCCTCTTTGTGATAAACATACCTGATTGGACCTCACTGTAGCTGAAACTGGGTGCCATTTTTTGTAGCACGGGGCTTCAAACATGCAGGAATTTGACTTGCATAACCTCAGCTTATTTGGTAAGAAGGCTTAACAAAAAGGGAATTCGATCCTTTTTTAGGCTGTCTAAAGTCTTAGTGGACGCACAATCACAGACATGTACACATACACACAGCTGCAAAGGCAACTGATCCATCTCCAAATGGCATAGCAGCAGTGGAAGTGGTAAAACTAAGTCTTCCCCCACCTGTTGTTGGCTTGATTTATGCTATGCTGTGTGTTGGAGGAACTGGGCCCGAGCAGAATGATGGTGTTTGCATGGCCTTGATGAGGAATGTGCTGTTCTATGTGGGTCAAAGGGATATGGCGGCCTTGTCGCCCATCCTCCTACTCAGCATTCCTGAAGTACTTTGACAAATGAAAAACACTGACCACTGATTGTGTAAAACTCTGGTACTTATTATGAGGGGACAGGGGGGTGATCTGAAGTATCTAAAGCTTGTGTATGCCTTGTACCTGCTGCTTATGTTATATCTTTTAATTTGGTTTCAGACGAGGAGCAGAATGTCGAACGGGAGCGCGTAGAGCGGGAACTGCAGAGGCTTCGAACCACAGCAGAGGAGCAGAGACTCAGGGCGAAAAGACTCGAGGAGGCCCTGGAGGCTGCCCGAGGACGAGGCCGCCAGCTTGAAGAGGAGCTGAGAAGGAAAAGGGCTTATGTGGAGAAGGTGGAGAGGCTTCAGAGTGCACTAGCTCAGCTACAGTCCACCTGTGAGAAGAGAGAGGGCCTTGAGATGAAGCTGAGGACGAGACTTGAGCAGGAGCTGCGGAGTCTGAGGGCACAGCAGGTACGTCTGCTAAATCTGAAATCTTCCAAACCCGTCTGTGTTCTGCCCTATGACAGACCATATATATATCTAATGTATTTTATTTTCCTCACCACAGAGGCAATCCCAGCCCCCTGGTGTGACCATGAACTCCCTACAAGAACGCTTGCGTGAGCGGGAGGAGCGTATCCTAGCCCTTGAGGCTGATATGGTGCGCTGGGAGCAGAAGTATTTGGAGGAGAGCACCATGAGGCAGTTTGCCATGGAGGTGGCTGCTACCGCTGCCGCTCAGAGGTACAGAGGGGGGTCTTGGTATTTCCAGGCACATTTCCTGTATTTTTGTTTTTATATTATCACTCGGCTTAAAGCTAAACTCATGATTATTTTTACTTTTGCAGAGACACCACCATCATTAACCATTCACCCTGCAACTCCTCAAACAACAGCTTCAATGAAGACCTGCCAGTTGCTGACCACAGGAACCAAGAGATGGAGAACAGGTACCTACCAATGACTGAACTCTCGTTGTTCTTTAACATAATTTAATGTTCCATTTTATGAAGCTTTAACTTAATAATGTTTTACGCTCCCGTCTTTCTGCAGGATCCGCGCTCTTTATGCACAGATCTTAGAAAAGGATGCGGTAATCAAAATCCTTAACCAACGCCTGCACCAGGACCAGGGGCAAAAGGATGAGCAGTCTCCTCGTATCAGTTACCTGAACCTTGCAGGTGCTCCTCTGCGACCTGCATTCTCCACCCCCTCCATCAGCACTATCAAGACCAACACAAAGACTAGAGGTAAGGTTAATGTTAATTATAGAAATCTAATACAAGATGAAGGTACTCCTGTTGCACATATGTACATATACATTCAGGCCTTAGGCCAGAATCAACACATCTGTGCAATGTGTTGTTTGCTCTTATTCTGATCTCAAACAAGAAGAACAGGAAAATGTCAGAAAACAAATTTGCTGTACAAAAGTAGTGAAACTGTAGTAATACTGCAGTGTTAAATGAGTTGATAATTGTTTCATGTATAATCAGGTCAATATTGTGCTTATTGTATTTGTTTCTACATAGAGAAACATGAGGCTTGACTTAACTTAGCATGTAAACGTACTGACTGTCTATATCTGTATGATGTCATCCTTTAGGAAAGAGTCTTTCCGATGACCAGACGTTGCCAAACCGTCAGTTCTCTGCTCAGTCTGAGCCTGGAACACTTGAGCGGCACAAAGAGAGAACCAAGGACAAAGGCGCTGCTGGCAAAACAAAGCTCAACAGTGGTGAGTGTTTGGAAAAATAAAATAACCCATACAAATCTAAACCTTTGGAGATGAATAATACAGTACAGCTTTTATTAAACTCAAATGCACTGCAGAGCATCAGTTAAACTTCCCATGCACATGGTTAGACTTTTTGTTGACGTTAAAAAGAGCTTTGGACCTCAACTTCACGGACGTCCACATTGATTAACCATGCTGCTGCTGTAGCAGCCATTCAGACAGCATGAGTACGGGTCATGGTTCATCATGCGGGCCTTGTGGAATGTGCATGGTTAGGAAATAATGCAGATCTGTTGACTGAGCACATTCACCAGCGTGGTCTGTTCGGCTGTGGAAAACCGGTGTTAACCGTTAATCGCTGAGCTGTATCTGGAACATTTTTCCATAGTTTGAAAATATCTAACTGACTGCTTGTTTCCTCTCTCTCTTTCTCTCTCTCTCTTGCTTTTTCCCTGGTAGACAAAGCAACTCCAAAGAAGTTCCTGTTAAATCCTTTCAGTGGGCTGGAGGAGCTGGAGCCGGAGGCAGTGGAGATTTTCATATAAAGGACTGAGAGAAGTGGATTTTTAAAAACAAAAGGGGAAAAGCAATTCTGAGAATCTGTGAAGAGTGTCTTTAAATAAATGAATGGAAGAAAATACTGGATCCAAGAATGTAGTGGAAAGAGGCCAAAGCACGCAGAAAAAAAAAGGACTGTTCTAATGTTTTAGAGTCAGAGCTGTGCACTGACTCACTTTCTCTCACCCAGCCAGCCAGCTGCAGGCAGGCTGCCTGGCTGGGTGAGACCAGATCAATCTTCTGAGGTACTTGGACAGTATTTTGGATTGCAATAGGGCAACATGTTCTCAGAGAGTGTATGCCAAATATTTATATAAATATATATAAAGATAGATAGATATACTATATAATTGCTGCTCCCCTTATATATTATTTTTTTAATCAATTTGCCCCACTATATACTACTGTTTATCCTACTGGGTTTTCACATTCCCCAGCTCTTAAGCCTTGTGTTTCACTAGATAAACACTCAGTAAGGGGGTATCTTCATGACCGTTCCCCTCCCCTCTAGAAGACGTTAATCTGAACAACCCCCGTTCCCATCACATGTATGTTATCAGTCCGGCAGACTTTCCCTTGCTCAATAATTTAAGCTGATAACACACAAGACTCTGCTGATTTCAAGTGCTCTCACATTCCACACTCCGTCGGCCCTAGTAGCTGGTTCTACCGGGGATTAGTCGGGTTGTGAGTGAAGAGATGCATGAAATATAATGTGGTTTGTTGTTGCCAAACTGACACAGATCAGGTGTTGTTCGTTCAAGTGGGAGGGTGTAGTGTCATGGTGTTGATTTCATCATATTACTTTTATTCCCTTCTTCCTCCTCAGTATGTTTGCATGTGTGACTTCAGTATGAGAGTGTGTTTCCTGATGTGGTGATTCTGCTGGTTTGGTCACCGCAGAGGGGAAGAAGTTGTGTTGGTTGTTGTGTTTACTGTTAGTTTTAAACTAACAAACAGGTTAATTGTTAATATTAATAATATTATTCTGTTAATCTATATTTTATACAGATGTCCGTATTGTTATTTTAGATATTACAGAGCTTCGAGAGACGCCAAAGAGTTTATGTTTCGTGTATTGTTTGTTTTAAGTTATGCGTTGACAATCATGGTCATGTCAAGCTGTTCCCAACCAACCGAGTGTTGACTTCAAACAGGCATTTCTGTGAACTTCAAACAGTATGAAGGTTTTTACAGTGGAATTCATGCATTCGTGCACATTTCATAAAGCAATAAAATAATATAACGTACAGAGAATTAACTGGCTCCTTGACTTTTTTTCTGTTTTGCTGATGTAACATAGGAGGACACTTGATTATCTGGGGCATTTTGTGCATCTTCCCTTTAACTTTTGACTCACGTTGTCACCTGATCTCCTCATACCTGTCCTCTTGTTGCTCCACGGAGGCGATTGCTCTTCATTAATAAATACCAGAGCAGAATTCTTTAGGGTTCAACTTTCTCACCTGGCCTGCTCTCTTGTTCTCCCTGCCGTTAAGAGCATGCTCGACATAGATCACATTCTCTTAGGGACACGTAACACTATACGTGACAAAGACCGGCCTCTCCTAGATTAGTCTCTAATGCCTTCTGAAATGTCTCTGCTCTGCCGTGCACCTCGAGTAATGTGTGCTGCATTCCTGAATGTTTTTATTGCATCCAATTATACTCAGGCCCAGAAGTGTTTATGACAATTTGAGAAGTCGTTCTTTGATATTAAGATGATGTTATATATAGACCTTGTTCCTGGTTTAGGATATTGTCTAAGCCTGCAGCGTTAGAAATATCAGTATGTAGTGCAACAAGTAGAAATAAGTAGAGTATAAGAGTGCATCATGGGAAATGTTGATTCTGACACTCTAGAAGTTAGAAATATGTATGTCCCAAACCAAGAGGACGGAGCCATTCACTCAGCAGATACATACCCTCTAAAAACATACACAGTGTGAATACAGTCAACAGAAAACTGAATACTTTTCTTGCTTGATTCGTATGGTCATGGTATTTTGTAACTCTAGTTTCATGAATGCGATTACAAAATGCAGTATGAATGACTGTGTCTAAAGTAAATATAATTAGGGTCTGTCACAGTTTAAAGAAGGACAACTGTTTCTGTTCCTTTAAAAAGAAAACATTGATCTAAGATTGTTTTTTTATCCTAATTGATTAAGACTTGAACTTGTGCCAGACCTACGTAAGCTGACAGACTCCCGACATATTTAGTTTTTCCAGTGGTTTTTACCAAAAACAGTCATCAGATCCAGGTATGAATCATTATTAGGACTCATCCCTTTGCACACCCAAAGAACGTCAGAGTGTAGCTTAGGTTTATAACTGGAAAGGGTGAATTTGTTAAAATGCCGTAGCAGGCCTGGACTTGCACACAGAGGATGTGAGCTATTGAGATCATACGGATGCTTTTGACACAGATGCTCGCATGGGAAAACACAGAGCAGGATCTACTGGTATGCAACGCCATCAATCTTATTTATGAATTGAAGCTCTTATCTTGTGCACTGACGAGGCACATTGTGAAGACTTGCCAACATTCTTTTGGAACATGAAAGGCGACCGACATGTTCCGACTGCAAGCCACTTTCTCGCCGTCTCTTTCCCAGAATTCAGATGAGGAAGGAGGAGCTGATGTAAAAATCAGTCTTCGGTCAAATTCCTTTTTGCTCATACCTTCAGAAAAAAAAAGAAGAGATTTTTCAACACATTTAAAACATAGCTTTCTTTCTTTGTGTGTCTCAGTGACGTGCAAACTTGACACAAAATTCATAATCACTGTGAAAGGTTTGAGTTTAATGTTGTGCAAACACTGTTGAGTGAGCGATTGCTTTTATGACACTAATCTCAATGTTTACAGTTTTACAGCACATTCCTTAAGAGTTATACTCATTGACTTTTAAGCACATTCAGCAAACAAAGAGATGGTGCATGTTGATATGAAAGCAGGAAAAAAATCCTTGTGATTGTGGAATGCTGATTGTCCTCAATTTATCTTGACTGTATTTATAAGCCGAAATACAAATTAGTAGAAGGAGTCCAATAAATGCCAAAGTACACATTTCACAAGTATGCAATTACACAAACAGACCAAACACAATGCCTTGTGTGAATTCCAAGTGTGGTGATTGATTGACTGATGGGCCTCCTTAGTGCAGATACGAAGTTTGTTTTCAGGTAAAATAAACTTGATTAGATCATTAAACTGTGACGCTTGTTTCAATTGGCAGTAGTGATCGCCCTCTAGAGAAAAAAAATTGTAACTTGTTTCAACTGTAACACGAAACTTCTGAGAGGGTTGCATTTGTGAATGGAATCCCTTGTCATTTAAAGGCCAAATTTAAAAACGCATGCCTGACCCAGGACCGATCTTTCAGCCATGTATCAGAATTTGAAGAGCGACATGTGAGATCATTTTTCCTTAGGCTTGGACTGTTGGACTGATTTGTTCACTGTTACATACATGCATTTGATCCTACAAATGATCCTACTTGATGTTCATTAAAAATACAAAACAATATGTTTTGCATGTTCATATATTATTTGATTTATTTAATTGAGGAAAATATTATTGCACTCTATTCGCATTCAATGTGTCCAGCTATTGCACTGTTTCCCTGCAACCAAGCTATGGTAATTATTGCACAAATGTTTGTGCTAGTTTTGACTTGGATCTTCTTATTAAATTGACTAGTGCGTCCACGTGTGTGCATGTAAACAAAGCAAAAACAGCGTGCCACTTCACAAATCCATCTTGGCTGCCGTAGCTGAAACAAGTGACTCAAGTAGAAGAACACCGTTGATCAAACTGGATATTGTTTAATATATTTGTTTTTGTCATTTTTAACATAGCGATGCAGTGCACGCTACCGAAGATGAGGCTGGAGTGGGTTCAGTGTCGGACAGAGGCTCATAGACACATTTTTTGAGCATTTTCAGCAGCTATATTTAAAGTATGTCGGTGCAACTGGAACGTGAGAGCTGGCGTCAGAAGCTGCCCGGTCGATTATTGACAAGGGACCGGTGAGTGAGCTGCTGCTGGACCCTGAGGCTGGAGTAGAATATTTATACAGAGTATTTTAAGATTCGTTCATTGTCTTAACAATATAATTTCTAACTTTAAATTGTAACTAATTGTCATTCACACAGAGTCATCGCGAACATTGTCAAAACAGTTGTGTTTATGAAACAGATCCATCAACTTTTCGACTTTTTCCATGTGGCCATGTGAATGTTTGTTTAGTATAGTTTCGCCCGGTGACATTTCTTCGCTGCACACAGGAAGTGTTTACATTCTTTGTCACGTGAACGGAAAAGCAGCGATATTTTCATTTTAAAAGTATGAAGTTGAGGATATGTTAGAATAAATAAATAAAATAAACCCACATTTGATTAACTGATGTCAAGCATTTTTACTTACGTTATATATGATCAGAATTATAGAAATTACGAGATCCCGACATTATTGACTTTTACCTCATGCTTTCAATCATGCAGCTGTATAATGATTTTCAGTCCAATAAATAAAGAAATAAACTGGAAAAAAAAATGTAAACACATAGTTTACATTGGAATTGAACCCAATGTTATAAATATTTAGGTCAAAAGAAAATACTAAAGCAGAACAAGTGATCAATAATTGAATTTAACAGCACAGGTTATCAGCAACAATACTGCAAACAAACTGCTCACCTTCTACTTTCAAGTAAAACAAATATATATATACACACTTGGCAATAGGGGGCAGGAGAAATTGTGAAGAAGAATTGTGAGGTCACACTGCAGGAACATGGACTGAGAAGCAGAAGAAGTGAACAGAGGAAACATTTTTGAAGTCAGTAACACAATAATTCATATTAACTCATATGTAATTACATTTTTGTAGTAATAATAACCCACTGTGTAGTACATCATTTCTCAAATGTGTTTGTTATTTTGGATTATTCCTATGATACAAACTTTAAGCAGAATTTTTAAAATACCCACGTTAGATATTTTTTTGTAAATGTCTTTTCAGATATCCTGCATAACGGGAGTGCATGGTGATAACTACAAGCATCACTGCAAGTACTTCAACGTGACTACAACCATGAGCCCATTCACCAAACTGAAGAAAAGGTCCTATTAATGTTTGATTTGCCCATGGACGTTTGCCACAAATAAGGATCGCCAAAGGCACACGCAGGACCACAAAGGCCTCAGGCAAGTACTTTGTCGTACATGTGGAATGTAGTTCCTATGTGTTCCAAATACTCTGAAGAGACACTTAAATGTGAACTCAGATGACAGACCTTATAAGTGTGCAGTGTGCCAGCGAGGCTTCATCCAGAAGGCCGTGTAAATGTCGGCACTGTGACAAATGTTTTAATCACAATGTGAGCTGAAAGAGTCAGAGCCAGCGTTACCACACATCCAGATCCTGGAATGAACAGAATAAAGCAAATGGAAAAGATCAGAGCGATGGGAACAATGGGGCTGTAGAGTTTACCTGTCAGTGTAGAGGAGAAACTGGACACAGAGGGGGATAAATAGCAGCAAAGGAGACGCATGGGTTGGTAGGCCCAAGAGCAACAAAGCTGTTAAAATAGCTCAAACTTGTGAAAGGACAGAATCAGGTTTGAACTATAGTACTCCTTATGACGAAGGATAAAAAAAACTGCTGGTTTAAAAACATTTATTTTCCCTCATTTATTTATGCCATATCAATACTTGATTTATTAATAATATTTATGCATTAACATCACAGGTATTTCAGAAGCACTTTTCCCGTTGTGGAATTTTGCTAGTCACATGGTAATCACTAGATGTCCTCCTTGTACTAGAAACACAGCCTGATTGAGCCAATTCTTTCCGAGTGGGATCACAGTCTTCCCTTCTCCATCACACTCAGTTCCTGAGGTGACTGTCATTTCTCTGAGCTGCTTTTCGAGTGCCTCTGCTTATCTTCTCCCTCTCTCCTCCTGTCGTCTCCTCAGGGACACTGTGTTTTCTCCTCAGGGAACACAGTTTCTTAGCACATTATCTTTCCTGGTCCTTTTGGAGCGTCTCACTGATCCCCTGTAGCCCTCAAAGCACTGGAGTACTGACATTTGTGCTTCAGGTAAAATCTGCACAGTTGCAGTACACAGTCTGCTGCTGTACATGTATGCCATGTTAATATAAACATCATTATACGATGTGTCTTTATTTATTTTCTGTCAATTTCAATCACTCAACTCTCCCAAGCGTGCTGATGTGACTTCATAAAAAAGTAGATAGTTGCTTAATGTTATATAATGTTATATAGATAGTTATATAATGTTGTTTTTTTTTATTCCAGGTATACTATTGTGGGAAAGGAAAACAGTATGGGGATCTACCACCTTGGGGCTGATGCTATTAAAATTACCTTAGTGCTGATTATTACAATTATTATTTGTTATTGTTCTTACCTCTCAAATATTTCCTTTTTATCATCTTCTTCAGCTACTGCCTGAAGGTGTCGCCATATAAATCTTTCTCTTGCCTCCTCTGCTCATACACCAGCTATCTTAATGTCATTATTCACTGTCTCTATTTTCTGGCAGGGGTCTTTATTTTCTTTCTGCCATCTGGTCATTCATTTAATTTTTTTTTTTTTTTTTACCTAAAGCTAACAGATAAAACGTAACCTTATAGTATCAACAGAAGGCAGCATTTGTTTATCTGAATGTTTTTGTACAAATCTTCCAAAATAAATCAAGTTGAAATTATGTTTTTTTTAAATCACTCGCAATATTTGTAGAATTTTAAATGTCTGTTCTCAATTTTCAAACCCATTCGAGTGATGTAGCAGTGAAATATCAAATCTGGACTTTTTCAATGCGATTCAACAATGAAACATTTTTATTTTTCTCAGGTGTCCTTTTCCTTGTCCTTGCAGTCTGTTCCATTTCCATTCACTGATTATTGCCTCATCTCCCTCTCACAGAGAAATGTCACGAGGTATTTATCAATCACAGGGCATTTGTATTCCGTTATTTACTGGAGCCCCAGTCTCCTTCCGCCCCCTGTCTGTGCAGAATTACCCCATCAACAGTGCAATCACTAGTCTCCTGCTATCCTGCCTGGTTGAGCGGCAAGTATTAGTTTTCTCCCACTGTCACGGAGTGGCATCGTCAATCCGAAACAGCAGGGAATGAGTGGTGTGTCAAGAATGTCAGCAAGTTTCCTCTCTGGGTTGTGTTAACTCTAAGATCTTAGTCAGGGATGAGCATAAATTTGATGGTAGAGGGCCTGTAAAAATCCATACTGTTGTCAGAGTTGAATTTAAATCAACACGCACTAGCTACACTGGGATCTTCACATCGGTTCTGCTGTCAGATAGTCGACTCTCTTGTGTACACCAGCAGTACATATATCTAAATATATCATTCCACTGTAAATGAACAAACTGTACTGAAAAAGCAAAAGTTAAAGCTGAAATAGATTTTATTTGCAGGAATGGCAACGGTTTGATGAAAAAAAAAATCCATTCCTTGGAGCATTTGAACCTACCACTGACTTGATACTCAGCAACAGTGTATGTGACTGTCAGTTTCTAAATCTCTGCTCATCTATTCACGTCATTGAGGTTTGCAGATGTAGTTTCCATAAACATTTGTACTTTTTCTGAGCTGATTGTCCTCTGGACTGCACACTGGTCAGTACAGCACGCGTAATCTATGTTAAAAATTTGTTACCCAAACCACTTCAACATAAACCTCTCAGAATGTTGTTATAACACACAGCTATACTGTAGCGAGCAGATTTAGTCAAGTACACCCTGAGTCTACAGGCTACACATTTAAGGTTCTTAGATTGCTGAGTAGTCAGTTCTTTCACATTACCTGTGAAATATCAACATCTGACGTATAATATTGGAACGCGCGCAGTGCAGCCTGGTTGTATATTCACTCTGCCTGTTGCTGTTCTCCGCAGTAATGACACAGTCAGGTACCACATTTATAGTTGTAGTATCACATATACACATATACATACATACAGTACATACATACATACATATATATATATATATATATATATATATATATATACTGTATATATATATTAATATTAGAATGCATGTATATATTTTGTAGAAAACTGTTGTTTTTTATTCTCTGTGTAATTGATTCCTATGAATTCTTTGCGTTCTCAAGTGCAAATGTTGTTATCTATATAACGAGTACAGACTTACTTGTCTTCTTTCCTTGTTCAGAACCACCCTGGCTTTAAACATGTGTCATTTCTCTATAGTCAGGTTTGGAATTTTATTCTGGAACACATTAAAACGGCAGCGTCTCTGCAGATAGGAGCAGCTCCCTGCCTGAGACGAGTCTTTCTTCTTACTCTTTCATTATTCAGCTGCAGTAATTGTCTCGGTGTGCTGTGAGAGCCACTGCCTTTGCTGGATTTGCCCTGCCTGACCTCAGACAATGGAAACAAGCAGCCACTTCAAAAAAAAATCTACCCACAGACATGCTGTCATCTTTTGTTCTGCAGCACTGGCTTTATTCTATACTTCTGCTCTCTCTCCAGCATCTTTATTAACATTCCTTCTCCTTACAGTTTATTTACTTGACAAATTGCCTAAAATTTCCCTTTGATTAGGAATAAAATGGTAAAATAACATCTACTTACAGTATCCCTATGGTTTGTGCTGCATCTATTGTCTTAAGTCTTTTTCTATGCTCAGTTTTCAGCCTTCTCTTAGGCTAGCATGTTATTCACATCACGTCCATGTGTCACTGAAGTCTTTAAGTCCTGTGACTGGAGTTATGGCGCAGCTTTTTGTGATACATAATGAGGCAACGTGTTATAAATTTAAAACTCTTAAACGGCAGAGCATTCAGGTGTTTATTTATTTTTTATTGTTAATGTTTCCTCTGGAAATAATGACACCTGCAGGAGCTGCAGTTGCATTCACTGCCCGGTGCTTCTGTCAGCAGGGATCAGGGAACCGTCACACACCTGCATATATGAATAAAACACACACAAACACACACAAAATCTCACACACAAAAAGATGGGGATAATCATTTAGCACTCATGTGTAGCAGTGGGGGACATAGAGTGACACAGTTGTTAGTGGTATTGCCCTACAGCAGTGCTTTCAAAAAAAATGGGAGTGAGCCTCCCGGTGGTAATTTCAGCTGGGAGTGCAGCAAGTGCATTCATTTTATATTTAATATTTGCGAAGAAAAGTTCACTGGTATGATTCACTTATTTTACATCTAGAGTTTGCATATTTCCTTCCGTCTTTGTGGCTTTTTTCCTCCGAGATGTTCTGCTTCCTTGGCTGCTCTGTCACCTGACCATCATTATTGAGCTCACACTGTCTTTCTAGACTCCCATTTAGTCTGTCCAATTCCAACTTTTTCAACCTAAAATATCCCCAGACTCCACTGCAAGGCTGCAAATGGTCCCATTCGTCAACGCCTACCTGGAGCATTGCACCAGCCTCCAGTATTGGATCTCCATTAACGATTCTGGACTAGCTCCTTTATGACCAAAGCTCTACTGCCAATGTCTTCATCTGAACCAAACACTGGTCTTGCTTTGGACTTCTTTTAGGGCCACTTGGTGAATAATTTTGCTGCTCTTTTAGTAAAAGAAACCTTTAATCGACCAAAGTAGAAAGCGTGAAAACAAACACGTATTGAAATTAAAGTTGATTTAAGTAAATTTACTGATTTTTTTTTTTTTTGGTTCTTAAGAGTAACACTAGCCAAGGGTCATCACTGTTTATCATTCTTAAAAATGGCGTTACTCTCTCGTGCAGAGTCTTTTCTCTTCTTCTGGCGTTACATTTATAGTCTTGTACCTTTAAATTACACTGCACTCTATTTTACCTCTTTCAAAGATAAGCATGTTACTAAGCTCAAACATAAGTGTCATGAATGATGAATATGTACTACAAATATATGCTTTCATTGACGGAGGTGTGACTGAATGGAGATAACACTGAAGGGAGAGTCGGTGTGTCTTTGCATCACCTTCTGTATAATGATGTGTCTGATGTGTATAATGACCCCCCCCCCCCCCAAAAAAAAAAACCACACAACTTAACAGCAATTACAGTTCCACACTGTGTGTTAGTAATGCATTTATACAAATGACAGTGTCCCACAGTTCAGTGTGGAGTATAAATCCTCGTCGCGGTGATGAATTGCCAGCTGTCAGATTTCCCAAGGTTTCCTGATGATTTATAAACTTACGAGTTTAATTTTATTCACTTTCTTTTGAGGAGGAGTTTTTGGTTTTACACATACATTTTCTTAACTGTTGTTGAACTTTGTAAAAGTTTTTTTTAGGTAAAAGACAAAGAAAATTGAATTATCTCATCTATTGACAGGCTTAAAACAAGCATCTAACATCTTTAGCTGTTTTGTTTTGATGTGTTTTAAAGAAAATGATGGTAACATTTTCTGCTTGTATAACACATCTGTCACAATAAAGTCGAAAGAGAGTACAACCAACAAATAGCCCATAAAATTAGAGAGGAAGTAGGGGAGCATCATGGTGTATTTTATATAACATTCCAATATACTCTGAATACTTTGTCACGAATGAACTACTGTATATTGCAGCTCGATATTTGGAGTTGTTCTGAGAGCGGGGTAACGGGGCAACTGACAATGCTTAGCAAACACCATTATACTTCTGTACAATCTGTATATAGTATATGATCTGTGAATGGACATCACAGAGGAGGAGACTCCCTCTGTCCTTGCCTTAATGGCACTATATGATGCTGCAGACACCATTATGTTCCTGATGCATCTTGTTTGTCTTGTTCTTCCTCTGCACCAGCAGCATACAGTGAGGTCATTGTTTCTAATACACTGGCAGAGACTCACCGTGTCCCAGGAGCATTGGAGAAATGAGTAAATTATTCTGAAGCTTGTCAATTTAGCCACGTCTTTGGCATTTTACCTTTGGGGCATCAGGAAATGTCTTTAATCGACCATCGATTTTTTCCAACATATTTCTTTGTACTCCCCCACCCAGCTCCAGATCCATTTGTTAGGCCCACATCTGGACTAAATGGCCACAGGCTTTACTAGACTGAGCAATTTTTATGAACCATATAGTGTTTAATTATCCTTTACTAAAAAGAGGGAACTTCATTATCTTTAAAAAATATAATTATTTTTTACCATAACGAAAACGAAAAGGAAAATACAGCAAATAACAAAAAAAAAAAAAAAAAAAAAAAAACAAGAAGCTTATAGCTAATAGTGTTACTGCATTTAATTAGACTTTTTCAAGAGGCTTCAAAATTGAGACAAGAAGGATAAGAAGTTTTACTGTATATAAAATCATTGGTCTTTTTTATAGGGAAAACAAAAGGAACAGGAAGTTCCGCTTGAAAATATCAAGTCTTTAAAGTAACTCCACATTGTGAATTTCACTGCCTGACACAGACCTATACATTAATGCCATTGCTGTTCATTCATTATATGGCCCACATGAAGAATGTGGCCCACGAAGTCCTCTTACAAGTAATAGAGCACATTCAGACATTATGGTCCAGTGAATAGGCTGCCTGTTTGGTTTATGAGTGTTGCACCAACCCCTCTGGTCTCAGATATAATTTTATTTCCAACACACATGGATTTAACCTCAGGCTTTAGAGACCATCTTTGAGAAAAAGTGACAGGGTAGAGAGGGGGATTAAAAAAAAAGCTATGTTTGAAATTATAATTTTCCTCTCCACACGCATCGCTCCTTCTTGCCAGGAGCTGTATCTCAGTTTACTATTTGATTTTCTCTTTCTTTTCCTTTTTATCTTTGTGACTCTGTTATCACTGGGCTCTTATAATAAATCCTTAAAGTGAATCTCTGTTTATTAACTCGGGCTACAGTGCCCAATAAAACTGTGTATGTGTGTGTGTGAGAGAGAGAGAAAGAGAGAGAGAAAGAGCACACCATGTGGCTGAGGGCACACTGTAGGTTCTGATAAAGTTGTTTTTCAACTTTAAGATTATGCACATTGTCAGTGGAGTGTGTGATCCCTGAAAGGTAAAAACTGATGCTGAGGTTTTTCTTTAAGTGAGAAAACCAAAATGCTAAGTGGATTAAGAGCTTGTTATCCTCTGCTGGGGTAAAACAGATGGGCAAATAGAATACATTCGATGATATTCATGAGCTTCAGCCTTCCACTGAAGTCAGGCTGGTATAATTTTTTATCCGTTTTTAAAACCTCTCTGATTGCAGCAGCATGTCCTAGAGGGATATCTGAGATTTATGCTCAGCTGCTGCCCAAGGTGAGGGAGTATTAACTTTACAGTGTTGACTGTCAGTCAGAGTGAAACACTGGCTTCACTTCTGAGGGAAGGATGATGGAAATGTTAGAGAGGAAGACTGAAGGATACATCCACGAGGACGAGAGAGAGGGAGAGACAGAGACAGAAAAGGTATGAACATCATCTCCATTACATCCCATTATCTCCCCTCCAACAGAAGGTCCCACCAGGACCCACACACACACACACACACCGATTCTGATGCACGCTCACACACACAGACGCTGTAGTGTCATTGATACTGGATGGACAGCAGGACACTAAGATTGATGAGACCCTCTCTAAATTCAAAGGATGCCAGGGGCATTTAGGGCATGCATACGCTGTCTTTCTCCCTCTCTGAATTTAGGCTGCACACAGACTCACACTATCCTGCAGCTCCATTACCCTAATGGCAACACAGTTCTGATGAAAGTGGGGAGCAGGACAAAGACGAGTACTTGTGAGCACAGTTAGAGGAGGACAGGTAAGGTCAGTGCCTATCATGTAACTTCGTCATTACTTGGTCTTCTTTGGAGAGTGTAATGAGCTCCTCGGCACGTCAGGTCATCCATG